AGCAACGTCCTCCACAACTAGACTGAAGAACAAAACGACAGCAACTTGTCTGTTCCCCTTCCCCCAATTCCCCAGCGCTGTTCCCATCCCCCAATAAAAATCTTAAAAAAAAAAAAAAAAAGAAAAGAAAAGAAAGAAACTACAGTTGGGCCCTTGAACAACACAGGGGTTAGGGGCGATGACCCCCTTGCAAGAAGTTGAAAATCTTTGTCTAACTTTCAACTCCCCCAAAACTTAACTACTATAGCCTACTGTTGACCGGAAGCGTTACTGAGAACATAAAGTCAATTAACACATATTTTTTGTTATATAATGTAGTCTTACAATAGAATAATGAGAAAACAAAATATTATTAAGAAAATCATGGGAAAATACATTTACTTTATTTACTGAAAAAAACTGACATATAAGTGGACCCACACAGTTCAAACCCATGTTGTTCAAAGATCAACTGCACTATGCAAAACAAGAAAAAGTTACATACAGATTAGGTCATTTTTCATTAAGTCACAAATAATACTCAGATGTTAGGAACATACTGTTGTGCCAATAAAAGAAATCCAATTATTCTTCCTCCCCCGCCCCCCACAGAATTTCTCAAAGATTTCATTTTATATTACATTATTCAACATATTTATTGAGCATCTAGTATGCACCAGATACTGTTGAAAATACTTGCCACACAGCAGTAAGCAAAGTAGAAAAAAAAATCCCTGCCCTCAAATAGCCTATATTGTAGAAGCGAAGCTCCTATTTTAGTAGTTTTTTTAATTTCAGCTCCTTGCACTCCCATATACTACCCACTCCCTCACGTCTGAAACCCTTCCTAGGGTTACTGCTTTAGATCAGGTAATTATTACCTCCCACCTGGACCGCTTTCTAACTGGGCTCCTTCCTTTTAGTTGCTTCCCCACCAGATCTACCCTCCACAAGGCTGCCTGTTACGTTCCTGAAACACATACGTTATGTTAACGCTTGTTTGAATAACTCTTTGTGACATATAAAATCTACACTCCCTAAGTCTGACTTTCAAGGCTTCCCACAATTTGGCACCAACCTATTTTTCTCATGTGGGTCTTCTTTCCATTTCCAAGATATCCTACTTTTTAATATCTCTGCTTCGACTGTCTTTCCCTCAATAAACCCATCTTCAAGAACTTTTTCTATTTTTTCTTCCTCCAAGAGAATTTCCTCCTTATTTTAAGAGGCCCATAGCATAATTCATGTCTAACACTACAATAGTATTTATCACAATGTCCTGCAGTGTAATTATTTATGTAATGTATATCTTCTGCTCTATAGGTCCAATTCCTTTTGTAATTCACATAGTATTTCAGAGCATTTTACAGAGTAAATGTTCAAGCTTTTTGAAACTAACTTAAATGAATTACTACAGTGATGATCTTATGAAAGAACTCAATTTTTTGAGGATATGTAAGACAGTTAACTTGTTCTTAGGCCTGGTTTGAAAAAGTCTCAGAAAAATGAATGTTATCTAAATATAACATTTCTGATTTTAGGAAATAGTCAGATGCCAATTTAAAACAACTACAGCAGACATTATCCAGATGTACTTGGGCAAAAATGACTATAAAATTCTAAACCAAAAGAGATGTACTAAAGCAGAATATTTATTTAAGGATAGCACATATAGCAAAGTATATAATACATACATCTTTATGAATTATTACAGACACAGGTATCCTCTATCCAGACCAAGAAATAGAAACACACAGTAGAGGGACATACCCTATTGGTTGTCAACCCTAAAGCTGCTGTAATAAAAAAAAATCTTCAGTTTGTCAATTCCCACAAAAATACCTACTCAAGTTTTGACTGATACTGCACTGTATCTATGGATAAAACCAGGAAGCCTTACAATACTGTGTCTTATAATTCATGAACATGATATGTGCTTGGCCTCTACATAAAGTTTTAAATATTACTGGAAGCAAAAAGATCTAGATAAAGAAGGGATATCTTTTATTAGATTTATTCCTAGATTTTTGCTTTTTAAAAAATATTATAAATGGTAAATTGTAAAAAATTTCATTCTCTAAATGTTTATTATAGTATATAGAAATACAATTGTTATGTATATATTGACCTTATATCCACTAGAAATTCTCGAAGTTTATAGCAGTTATCCCTTTTGTAGTTCTGCCAAGTTTTGCTTTTTATATGTTAAGTAGATTAAATACAAATTTAGAACTGTTACATCTTTCTGGTGAATTGAATCTTTTATTAAGAATGGACATATTTTGGGCCAGCCAAGTGGCTCAGTTGGTTAAGAGTTGGCTTGGGAACGTGAGCTCTGAGCAGCAGGGCCACCGATTTGGTTCCCACATGGGCCAATGATGCTGCTCCCTCTACAGCTAAGATGGTGAACAACAGCTTGGCCTGGAGCTGGGCTACTGTGAGTGGCTGGCGACAGCGTAGGCTGCAGTGGGCTGCCATAAGCTACCGTGAGTGGCTGGCAGCCAGCGTGAGCTGCCGTGAGCGGCCGTCCAATGGCTGGTGACGGATCTGACTCAGCCAGGAAGAGCGCAATGATCATAATACCAACATTGGCCAGTGAAGCAACTTCCTCCACAACTAGACTGAAGAACAAAAGGACAGCAACTTGTCTGTTCCCCTCCCCCGATTCCCCAATAAAATCTTTAAAAAAAGAATAGACACATTTTATTTATTAACATTTATAATCTGATTTCAATATGGCTATTGGATTATTGGAAAAGTCATGACGTTTTTTTTCTGTTTTTCGTTGCAAAAATGTGTCATGACTTTTCCGACAACCCAATACATAACTTTTTTCTTGGTTGACACTGAATGGCTCATCTTTTTCCATCCTTTCACTATTAATCTTTCTGTGTATTCAAATTTTATTTATTCTATTTTTTATTTATTTTTAAAGATTTTATTGGGGAATTGGGGAGAGGGGAACAGCGTTGGGGAATTGGGGGAGGGAAACAGACAAGTTGCTGTCCTTTTGTTCTTCAGTCTAGTTGTGGAAGACATTGCTTCACTGGCCCATGTTGGTATGATCATTGCACTCTTCCCAGGCGAGGCAGATCAGTCGCCGGCTTCTGGACCGCCGCTCACGCTGGCTGCTGGCTACACACAGTGGCCCATGGCAACCCACTACAGCAGGGGCTGCAGCCTACGCCATCGCCAGCGACTCACGGCGACCCAGCTCCAGGTTGAGCTGTTGTTCAGCATCTTAGCTGTAAAGGGCAGTGTCACTGGCCCTCATATGTGGGATCCGAACCAGGACCCTCTGGTGTCCCAAGCCAGTTTTTAACCAACACGCCACTCGGCTGGCCCATATTATTACTGCTTTTAATGTCAACTTTAATTTAAAATGTCCTATATATTGACCCCTTTCTTACTCTTTATTCATTCCTGAATCTCTGGGCTTCAATCCAGGATCACTTTCTTTCCATTCCAAGAACATCTTTTATTATTCCCTTTAGAGCATTTTTTGCTGGTTACAAACTGTTTGTTTTTCTGAAAATATCTCTATTTTATACTGTTCACGGAACACTTTGATTATAGAATCCTTTGTTGGCAGTTATTTTCTTTTAGTCCTTTAAAGATACCATTCTACTGTCAGCTAATTTCTCAACAAAATAAATGACAGCGAGAAGTCAGTCTTACTAGAGTTTCTTTGAAGATAGTATACCTTTTTCTCCATCTCTCCTTTTTTGCTCTGGATATTTTTCTTTGGCCTATTTTGCTGTTTATTATTCCTTTCTTAGCTGTGTCTACTGAAAGTCGATTAACTGAGCTTTTCATTTGAGTTACTATGGTTTTTTAAAATTCGGAAATATCCATTTAGCTCTCCTTTAGTTTCAAATTCTGTATCGCCTTATTTCCTTGAGCACTTTGGTCTTGGATTAAAGTACATGTTTAATAACTTTATTAAATGGATCCTCTGTGGATCTGTTTCTATTTCTTCTTTGTTTTGATCAAATTATTTTGTTTCATCTGATATCTGATTACTTTTTCATTGAGTGCTGGCCTTATACATGAAAAAATATAGTTAATGTGATACCTAGGATGATTTTATTTTCCTCCAGACTTAAAACTTAAGCCAGAGCTTCAGTCTCCAGAAGAGCTGATTTATATCTATCAATAGTTCATCCTTATATTCAAAGTGTGATCTCTTATGGTTCTAATCCAAAGCCTGCGGGTTTATCAGGGCATATCCTTGGCCAGTCTCACCTCTCTGGGTTTCCTCTTTTACCCAGATGTGGACCTTGTAATTCTTTGCTCTTTTTTTTTAAATCTCTATGATGCCTTTAAACAGATGTTTTTAAATTTTATCAACCTTTTTATGACACTTTCATGACAGAGTTGATCCAAATTGTCTAATCTATCATCACTGGAAATGGAAATGATCAGTGATTTTCAACTATGCCATGACAAACTGCTACATTAAAATCAATTGTGGGAAATGTTACTTATGATTTCTTAAAAATAGCTAAAGCATATTAATTATAATAATGGTTGCTTTTAAAAGTAAGAGTAAGAATAATGATAATCATAATAGCAACTATCATTTATTGAGTATCTTATATAAACTGGCCACTGAAAAGTATACATGTATTGTTTTATTTAATCCTCAAAAGAGCCTTGTGATACATATTATCATTTCCATTTACAGTTGAATAAAACTGAGGTTTAAAATACATTTAATAAATTTTTACAGTTAGTAATATTTAGCTGGGCATTTATACCCAGCTTTTTGACTGAATATGCCTTATTACATCTCATGATAGGGATGAAAGATTTCAGTCCCATAACAAAATTACCTTCAATCACTTGCATATTCTTGAATATTGAGGAAAGGGATGAAATTATGGCATTATCTCTGAAACTGGGCATGCCATGGGAGTATGTCCTACATGTAAATATATATATCACAATGAGAAAGGCTGATTGCTAACTATTAAAGTAATGAATGTATGTAGAAAATTATTAAGAAAACATTTCCACTCGCATGCATTAGGCTGGTATTATGTAGGTATCATTACAGATAAATAACAGAATGTCCTTCTAATTTAAGCAGAGCTATTTGAGAGTTTCATATCCATCCAGAGTAGAACTTGCAAATATACTGTATTGTTTGTATTGGCAATGCCACCTAGTGGCAGCCAAATACAGACATACTTAGTAAAAAGTTCTAGAAGAGTAGTTGGTTCTTAACCTTTTATGGGTTACAGAGTCTTGAGAGAATCTAAAATAGGTCCTTTTTGTCAGAAAGATACATATTAGCAAAGACATATAACAACATGTATAGTATTTCAGGGAATTAATAGACCTCCTGAAGCTCATCTGTTGACTATTAAAATTAATGGAACAAACTAACCTAGTAGCCAACTCACTCCCCTTGAGCCTTGAGAAGGAATCCATTCACTTTTCCCTTCATCTCTTCCTCTCTGGCTAGTAATCACTATTACTGCACAAACAGTACCTAATTTTTCCTTTGTGGCTAGATAACTGTTCTCTGCTAACTACCAGATTTCCACTGTTCTCAAATCACTTTACAAAATTTGATGGTAGCCCAAACTAGTCATTTTTCCTTGTTGACTTTCATTAAATTTAATGTAGGTCAAACAACTGCTCTTACTTCTAATGTTTAAAAAAGTGAGAGGACTTCCAGAACATTTGGATTTAAGTTGTATAACTTTTCATATACCGTATTTCCCCATGTATAAGACACTCCAATGTATAAGACACACCTTAATTTTGGAGCCCAAAATTTGAAAAAAATGTATTACATAATGAACTTAATACATTAAGTTCAATGTATTACATATTGAACTTAAGTTTTATTCATCATAAAATTCATACAACTCCTCATCACGGTCAAAACTCCCAACCATTAGCTTGTCCTCATCTGTGTCTGATGACAAATCTTCATATATTGCCTTGTCCTCAGTTCCATCTATGGCATTTGAAATGCCACACTTCTTTTTTTTAAAGATTTTTATTGGGGAATTGGGGGGATGGGAACAGTGCTGGGGAATTGGGGGAAGGGGAGCAGACAAGTTGCTGTCGTTTTGTTCTTCAATCTAGTTGTGGAGGATGTTGCTTCACTGGCCCAAGTTGGCACCATCATTGCGCTCTTCTCTGGCGAGGCAGATCAGTCGCCGGCTTCTGGACGGCCGCTCACTGCGGCTGCTGGCCGCTCACGCTGGCTGCTGGCTACACACGGTAGCCCATGGCAATCCACTGCCACAGGGACTGCAGCCCACGCCGTCGCCGGCGACTCAAGGCAGCCCAGCTCCGGGTTGAGCTGTTGTTCAGCATCTTAGCTGTAGAGGGCAGTGTCACTGGCCCTCATATGTGGGATCCGAACCGGGGCCCTCTGGCATCCCAAGCGAGTTCTTAACCATCGCGCCACTCGGCCGGCCCGAAATGCCACACTTCTTAGATGACTTTACAACGATCTCAATCTTGATATTACCCCAGGATCTTTTCAACCAGGTACAAACTTCTCCCATAGTTTGTTTCTTCACTCTTCCTGCTGGTGTCAAATTGTCCCCAGAAGACTTCATCCATTGGTTCCATTCGTCTCTCAAGGCAACTTTGAAGGGTTTGTTAATGCTGACATCAAGTGGTTGGATCTGGGATGTCAAGCCTCCAGGTATGACGGCAAGTTTTGTTTTTTGCTCTGCAGCAATCTTCTTGGTGTTTTTTGTTATGTGTGCCCTGAACTGACCAAGCACCAATAGGTAAGGTTTGCATAAGCGCCCACCTGGTCTCCTGCTCCAAACTTTCTCAAACCAGATCTTCATTCCATCCTGATCCATCCAATTCTTGTCATGAACGTGGACCATCACTCCTCGGGGAACGTCTTCTTTTGGCATTGTTTTGCGTTTGAAAATTAGCACAGGAGGCAGCTTGGTTCCATCGGCACAACAAGCTAAAACAACTGTATAATGGCTCTTTTCATGTCCACTTGTCTTCACTGTTATAGTTTTCACGCCCTTCTTATCAACAGTTCTGTTACTTGGGACATCAAATTGAAGGGGGACTTCGTCCATATTTGCAATCTGTCCCAACTCAAACTGATATGTCTTCTGACATTGAATGACAAAATGATGAAATTCAAGGACCTTCGCTCATAGCTTTCAAGCATCTTTTGGGCAAGTCTGGTGCCTGTACGCATGCTTAGTCCATTCCGTTTCATGAACCTGAAGCACCAATTGTGTCCTCCTTTGAAATCAGTAACTTATTTTTTCATCAATTCTTCTTGCCTCATGCTGAACCATCTTTGTGGACACAGGAATTCCAATTGCCCCTTGCTCTTCAATCCATATCTTCAATTCCCTCTCTAAATCTGGCCATTTTGCTGACTTGCCTCTCATGGACTTCTGCCATGGCATTTTCAGTAGGGTTTCTTCTTCCCGTAGACAGTTTCGGATTGTTTTCTCAGTTGGAGGAGGACCAAACTTATGTTCAGCAGCACGATTTCCATTCACTTTTGCAAACTGGATCACTTTTAACTTCAATTCAGCACTGTACGAAAACCTTTTCTGAACCATTTCTGGGCAGAACGTGGCAAAACGTAACCTGCCATAATATACCGGTAACAAATGCAAAACAATGAGCGCAAAGCCAACAAGCGTGAAAAAGCGGGAAATGCAAGTAAAAAAATCTACAAAAATAAGCGCAAAAACAAGCGGGAAAAAAGCGGGAAATGCAAGTAAAAAAATCTACAATAAGTGCAAAAACAAGCACGAAAAAAGCGGGAAATGCAAGTAAAAAAAAAAATCTACAACCACTGTATAAAACGCACCCAGTTTTTAGACCCCAAATTTTTCAAAAAAGGGTGCGTCTTATACATGGGGGGAAATGGTATATCTAAAAATATAAATGAAAATTAGTATTGATAAACTTAAGAAAATCAAGACTTTTCCATTTTAAAGTCAGATATATAGGTAGATAATATTTTAGGAAATATAGCAACACTTTTAGATCAGCGTTTAGTTATACAATGAGGTATAATTAACTAAATGATACTTCCAAAGGATGTAACTTCCACACTGGGAAGAACCTAACTGGGAAATTTTGTTTACTCAGGAAAAATTTTCCTATTTCATTTTTAAGTCATGATTTCCATCCAGGAAGGAGAACCATAATGAAGAATGAATTAAATCTTTTCCCTTCTTTAAACTCAGTTTATTTTTCACCTATTTTGCTGCAAATTATTGTCAAAAGGAGGGTTATATTTCTGACTAGGCAACTCTCCTAACACAGTAGTCACTTGTTTTCTTGACCGAGGAGTTATATGAGTACATGGTAAAGGAGTCTGTTTCATCAGCTCAAAAATGTATGACATGAAAATGCTAACATCACATCTCCCCAAGTGAGGATTATGTAAAGCCTCATAAAAGAAAGAAGGTATAATTAGGACTTTCCAAACACAATCATATTTCACAGATATAAAACAAAAAGGAATGGTGATCTATAAGGATAAAACCCTGTAGACCATCTATTATCAACAAAATGTTAAGTTTTTACAATCTAACCAGATTACTTGAAATAGCTTCTTAAATAATAACACAGATCAAATTTTTAAACCTTTATTTAATTCCGCTTTGCCTCTGGTTTCCTGGCTATTTTTCTCTATGTTATAATTGCCAAAGTTCACAAGTGGATAGTCTATACTTACTAATGAAATTTTTTATTACACATTTGCTACACATTTGGTTATTGACTACCTTGGCTCTTGGGAGGACTACATGAGATAATTCATGTAAAGGGTTGAGCACAGAGCTCAGCACATAACAAACATTCAATAAATGTTAGTCTATCAGTCTAGATAGCCTACAAAAACAACCCCAAAATCTCAGCTTACTCTACATCTCCATCACATACTGCAGATGGCATCAGCTCATCATAGTTAGAGACTCAGGCTCTATATTGACAAAATAGGTAGGTGAAAGAGTGTATGACAAATCTTGAACCTTCTGCCAGCAAGCAACACCTACCACTTATGTTCACATTTCATTGATCAAAGCAAATCTTACAGCTGGAGGTCAGTAGGATGGGGTTTCGAAATCTCCCCACAGTTACGGATACCACAAAAATAAACATCAAATATAGGTGAAAATATAGAATTGACTGCAGCTAATATTACTCTGATGATAGTGATTGTTGTTGTTAGTAGTAGTAATAGTAGTTAACTTCCTGCAATCTAACTTCCATCCCAACCAGGCAACTGAAAAAATAAACAAAGGTCAGTGATATCTCATTTCCCTTTTGTTTGACTTCTCTGAAAATTATTTTTTGTAAATGTTCATTTTTCTTCATTCTTCCCGCTACACCTAGGAATCCAGGAAGGAAAGTCTGTGTCTAAATGAAAAGACATAAGAACTAAAGATAATCTGATCAAATGGAAATGGCATATGCTGGGTGTCTTTACATTTTTTTTTAACATTAACATATTGTTCCCCAAGTCTTTACATATTGAATTTGTTTGCTATATTGGCCTTTCATCCATTTCTGATCACTACTGTCTAAAAAAAGTGTTCTTTTGACAAAATCAACACCGATTCATGATAAAAAATTTCAGCAAACGAGGAATAGAGGTGAGTTCCATCAACTTGATAAAGAAATCTGCAGAAACCCTGAGCTAACACGATACTTAATGGTGAGAAACTACAGGCTTTTCCACTAAGATTGGGAACAAGGCAGGATGGCCCACTCACTACTCCTATTCAACATCACACTAGAAGAATAAGGTAACGCAGTAAGGCAAGAAAAGGAAATGAAAGGATATACAAAGAAAAAAGAAATAAAACTGTCTTTATTTGCAGATGACATGATTATCTTATAATTTTCTACATTATAAATAAATGAATAAATGAAACATATATGAATAAAGTTATTCAGTCTTTTGTGGTTCCATATAAATTTTAGGATTAAGGCTCAGCCACTGAAAGAGTCAGGCAGTACACAAGTTGGGTGAAGCAGGGTCTCAGGGAGTCCCAGGTTGAGGCAGGTGGTGTTCACCAGGTTAATGCAGATTCAGATTTGGCACAAATGCTGAACCTGGGACCACTCAGCAAAAGGCACAGAGCACGACAAAGCCAGCCACTGCCCACCTGCAGCCCAGAGACCCCCAAGAGTTGTCCAAGAAAGACTACAGAAAGGGCCAGCCGCCATCTTTTGTTTTCATTCTGCTTGACTTCTCTCTGCAAATTCTTTTGTGGAAATACCCCTTCCTCCTCTCCATACTCCCTGCTATCTCCATGGAAGCCTGTGTTTCTCAGAAGGATTATCACAATTACCCATCTTTCTCCTTACCTTCAATCTATCTCCCACTCTACAGCCAGAATTATATATTCATAAAATGCAGATCTAGTTATATTACTTGTATTTAATTTTAGGGCATTTAAAATAATTCTAAATGCTACTTACTCACAAACAAAGAAAAATCAAATTTACCTAATGCTGAAAAAGTGGCCCGATCAACCCTGGACCCTAGTGTGCTATCAGCAGTGTTAATGCCACAAAGTTTTGTGTAGCTTTTATGTATAATGCAACACAGTTTTAGATGTTTCTTAATTACATATTCATACCTGCTGAACTCCTATAATATACAGAGGGTGCCAAAAAAAAGTATACACATGTTAAAAAGGAAAAAACTATTAAAATTGTAATACTCAATATATAACAATAACAGAAGATGAACACAAGTCACATTTGACTTCTACAATTACAATAAGTGTTCAAAGTAGTTACCATCAGCATCCAGACACTTCTGATTATGGTGAACTACTGCTTGAGCAACGTTGACCAAAGTGTCCACTTGTATACATTTTATTGGCACCCCTGGTATACAGTACTGAGTATAATGAGAGCGTGATACCTTCCTTCCAATAGCTCTTGAAGAATTCTTTCTGGGGCCGGCCGAGTGGCTCAGTTAGCTAAGAGCTCGCTCAAGAGTTTGGCCTCTGAGCAACAACGGTTCGATTCCCAGCCCAAGCTGAGCTGCCAACAGGTGGCAGGATGGCTCAGCTAAAAAATAAAAAGAATTCCTTCTGAACTTGTGAAAAGCCTAACCACACTCCATTAAACCTGCACTCTGATCAAGGGCAGAAATAACTACTACCTAATTTATGGAAGCAGAGACTTGATTATTTCACTCAAATGAATTTTGTAACAAATGCTTATTGGTATGTTTCTAAATCCTTTACTGGATACACGAGTCAATGGAACCAAACCAAAAATGTTTTCACATCAAGACATTTTAAAAATGTCATTTTATAAAGGTTTCTCACGGATATGAAGAAACTTCCATGTTTCAAATTTTTTCATTCTAACTTATTGTGCAGTTTGTAATCATTAGAATTCCTTTTAAGGTTCAGCAGAATCTGCTATCTGTGTTGTTTTTTAGATACTTCCAAATTAATCCAATGCAACAAATGAGTTCCTTAATCTGGAGTAGCATTTTCTATTGAAGAATAGAGGTTGGAAGTGCTTGCAGTATTCAGCTTTACTCAGAAGTCAGCACTGCTGTGACATTTCACCTCTTTTTTCTCAATCAAGATCAAGATTTTTTTTTTTTTTTTAAGCTGAGCCATCCTGCCACCTGTTGGCAGCTCAGCGGCTGCTCAGCTTGGGCCAGGACTCAAACCGCTGTTGCTCAGAGCTCAAACTCTTGAGCGAGCTCTTAACCAACTGAGCCACTCAGCCGGCCCTAAGATCAAGCTTTTTCAAATATGGAACTGCTGACAATGTATTCAAGTACAGGAATAGCCTGAAACGAGAGGCATCCAGGGCACAAAACTCAATGAGGTGCTCACTCATCAACCCCACACTTACATGACCCTGAAAGTGCCTATTTAAATTCTGTGCTCTACGTCTTGCTTGTCTCACGCCCTGATCTTAGCTCTGCTATTGTTTCAGTATATTTGTCAGTGTCCAAAGGAAAATCTATCTTTTATCTCTAATTTCAAGTACATAAAAAAAATATTTTTTAGAAGGGATACATTTTATACTTTGGTTTAAAAGGGTTTAAGAAAGCATTTAGTTCTATATAATTACTACTTCATCAAGTACATTCAATAAGAATACCAAAATAATTATTCAGGTGTGTACATAGTATTTGAGCATAACAGAGAAGACACTGTTTCTTATTTGCTGTTTAAAAGAGAAAGTAAACGTTCCAAATTATTCTAGGCCTCACTTGGAATTTTGTGCATTTAAATAACTTCAATTATTAAAATGACAACTGCATAAGCAAGAGAACCATTATTCCAAAATCTGGAAAGAAAAAAAAACATTTCCTAGATGAATTAATTTAGATGAATTAATTTAAGGAAACAATCTCATTTGCCTAAGGGATTCGTCCCCCTTCTTTTTAAATCCTCAACCCAAGGAAAAACAAAACAGAATTCTAAGTCAAACTTAAAGCACTGGTTAGAGGATTAGAACGCTTCAAAACACAAAGGCAATTAAATAAAAATCTTAGAATTTTTACTTCTGAAATAAAAGCACCAATTAAAACAATCTCTTTCAACTTGCTTATCAAAAGCTATTCTTACCAGATAAAGCAGAAAGGTGTGCAGCCCTGTTCCAAGCCCAACAGAAGACAAAATTCCTAAGCCTATCCAGTAGGCATACAAAAGCAGCTGCTTCTCTATACGCTGCACATACTGGAAAACAAAAGGGATGAGGTGAAACAGCAAGACCAGAATTCTTAAACGGAAGTATTTATCAACTACAATCAAAATAAGATAAACCAAATAAGTACGTGTTCAACAGGCAGAAATTATTAAGATTAAAAACCCTTTGAAAAGGCCTCATAACTTTAGCATGCAATTGCAGAGATGGCAAAAAGTTCGTCTCATTCAAATAAAGCTCTTGTTTCTGGACCTACCATTGCAATTGCAATGACATTTATAGGAAAGATGCAAATTACTAATAAGATAACTATAAGAATAAAAATTTTAAAGATATTTAAAAGTTACAAAAACTTTAAGAATGATAATAATATACAGTGGTAAGAGAGGGGGCAGCTCTTTATATAACATCTGTGACTAAAATATATTCTTGTTTATCCAAGTAAAAAATGAGAATCAAATTATTTTTGTATATTTAAGACCAATATGCTTTTCAAACAAAAGCAAACTAAAATCCACTGAGATATGGACTTGTTGAAAGAATGCCAGACTTTAGAGTCTAGATTCTCACACTGGCAAGTAAATTCATCAAGCCAGTTCCCTGCAAACTCTTAATAGCACACACAGATTTCTATAAAATACCGGGGGTGCCAAAAAAAACGTATACAAGTGGAAACTTTGGTCAACGTTGCTCAAGCAGTAGCTCGCCATAATCAGAAGGTACGCTGGACGCTGCTGGTAACCACTTTGAGCACCTCTTGTAATTGACTTGTATTCATCTTTTGTTATTGGTATATATTGAGTGTTGCAATTTTAATAGTTTTTGCCTTTCTTAAAATGTGTATACATTTTTTGACACCCTCTGTATTTACAAGAAGTGCATTTAAAATTATAAAAACTTCTCTGAGATTAGAGTAAACTGCTTTAAAATATGAGATGATACCATTTTAGAACATTATCCTATTAGAATACATTGTTTTGCCATTTTAATAAAATGTCCATTTTTCCCTGCAGTTATGCTGACTATAGGCAAATGAACTTCCTTTTTTATATATATAAAACCTAATCTTCAATCTAGGATGAGTATATCTGTTTGAATGGATCACAGGAGTGTGTTAAAGAAAACATGACAACTTTGGTAGTGAGTAAAGGATTTGTCCTGCTTTGACTAGACACCGTCAGGAAAGTTACATTTAAATCCTTGAAGGTTAAAAAGAAATGATGAATACCAAATATAAATGCTGAGCATCCATAAACTATCACAGGAATATTTTTAATATTTGGCCTTAAAAGTAAGTCATTAAGATGTCAGTTATGAGATGAATTAAAAAAATAAAACCAAGCTTAAATATGTAGAGGGTGAAAGTCTATGAAATCCATAATAGTCCCATTCTTAAATTGTCTGGGATTAGGGAAGGTACAAGAATAGGAGCAGAGTTGCTGAACCTCTTACCTGTTGATGTGCTCCTTCAACATAATACGTAGCTATAAGCACAGCAAGCAGCAGTAAAAAACACATCACAATGTTTTGACGATGCCATAATCTTAAAAACATATTTAAAAAAAAATAAATGAAATACGTTTCATTTTCAGGATTCATCATTCTCAAAACAATTTCTTGTTTGAAGCAATTAGGTTATTTAGCTCAGCTACAGAAATCAGTTCTTTCTGGGATGAGCTCTTTTGCCCTTAAACACATGGCCTCTTGGGGAATACAAAGGGGTCAAGGGATGATACTCAATTTCTTATCACAAACCCCATGGTAGCCTTTTCATAATCCAAAGACTGATCTTGTTTACACCCAACTTCTAATATGGAGAGACATTATAATAAAAAGAGCACTGGCCTTCAAGTCAGAAGACCTAGGTCAGAGTTCCTTAAATATTGTACTTTGAGGAAGACACTTAACCAATCTGATTCTGTTTCTTGTGTTTAATATTATAGTAATCATATACTTGGTTTACCTTCTTTGTGGAGTTGCTTTAAGGATTAAATGAATCGAAAAGTTACAAAATGGCTTATAAACTGTAAATGCAATAAAATGCAAAATATTTCCGATAATAACTTGGAACAGAAAGCCAGAAAATGATAAGGCATGTTAAAGTTCAACATGCTCTTTATGATATCTGAAATGAATACTAAATTTCAAGATAGAACACATTTCTTTGGCAGAGTCCTTTCTCATGGGCTCAAACTATCGGTAAAAGTGCCACGTCTCCTGAACCTTGTCCTGTTAAAGAATCAGTGTATCTAATGTACACAGGTCTGAATTCTCCTGAAAGTAAAACCAGAAAAAAAAACAATTCTCATTTTCAGTATTCTCCTTTGCATAAAAAATTCAACATGAGACAGTGATCAACTGTAAATAATCCAGTGAGCAAATAACAACATGTTCCCATCATCTATTTTTCTTCAAACTATAGAAAGGAAAATACACATGTTCCTATAACATTCTAAATTTAATTAATCCATTTTGATAGACCAGGTTGCAAGGACCAGAAGACTGTAGAAAATTTCTAAAATTAGTAAATAAGGTTTATATAAAAAGTAATGGAAGGTTCTTTACTTTGAGGTCCATTCCTTCAAGATTACTAGGATTTCCAGAGAAAAATACTGCAAGGTAACGAGTGGCTGTCTCCACAGGACAATATTCTGCCTCTCTTCCCGATCCCTCCTCTTCTTTTCATTCATTGAAGAGGGGTCTGAAAAACATTAGTGCAAAAAATAAAACCAAATGGTCACTTTTTCCAATCACTTTCTAAACTCATCTACTTTTCCATCCCATATCTGAAAGAACGCATATAAACCTCAAAAAACAATGTGGTTCATCTTGAGTCAATGGGCTAGGTGCTTCTACTCCACTCTTACCATTGTTTATGCACTTATTTTATTGTCAGGACACAAGTTTCTCTTCTTGTTCATCACTGGCATACTAAAGTATCCCACCTTCCATGAAGGGAAAGTTAGCATCATACTGTACAGCAAAGAGGTTTAGAGCTAAAAATTTAAAGGCAAACTACTTAGTTCCAAATTCTGGTTCTTGCCAGATGTGACCTTGGGCAAGTTAGTTAGTTAACCTTTCTATGCTTCAGTTTTCTCCTCTCTAAAATGAAGAGAGAAATAGTACTTACTTTTTAGGGTCATTATAAAGATTAAATGGGTTAATATATGTAAAGCTCTCAGAAGTCTGACAATAAGGACACAATTATATTGAGTTATTATTGTCATCATCTATCGAAATTACAAATGCACACAGAATAGTCCCCCACTTATATGCAGTTTCACTACCCTCAATCAACCTTGGTTTCAAAATATTAAATGAAAAAGTTCAGAAAGAAATAATTCATAAGTTTTAAATTGTGCACTGTTCTGATTAACGTGATAAAAACTCACGCCAACTGCTCAATCCCACCTGGAACATGAATCATCCTTTAGTCCAGCATTTCAGGCTGTATCCCCTCCCCATCCCCCCACCCATTAGTCATTTAGTAACTGTCTCGATTATCAGATGGACTCCTGTGGTATCACAGTGCTTGTGTTCAAGTATTCTTTATTTTACTTGATAATGGCCCCAAAGCGCAAGAGTAGTGATGCTGGCAATTTGGGTCTGCCAAAGAAAAGCCATCAAGTGTATGTACATGTGGAAAAAACATAGTATATACAGGGTTAGGTACTATCCACGGTTTTGGGCATCCACTAGGGGTCTTGGGATGCATCCCCATGGAAAAGGGGGGACTACTGTACCCTGTAATCCAGTAACTCCATTTCTAAGAATGATTAAGTGTAAGGTGAAATGACTCTTATACAACCTTGTTCGATGCAGCATTATTTATCCTAGCAAAAGATTATAATCAACTTAAATTTTACCAACAGAGGACAGAGGAGTCATTCAAGTATGGTACATTCATACAAGGGAATACTAAGCAGCCATAATAAAGAATAAATTCTTTGTGTACAGTTATACACAATCTCTAGAAAATATTAAGTAAAAGGAAAACACCCCATGGTGAAGAGAAGTGTGTCATACTAACATTAATTTTAAATACCAAGGGGGTGGGCAGTAGGGGAAGAATATATATACACATGTGCTTGTTTAAAAAAAGGGAAAAATCTGTAAAAGCTACTAATGGGAAGAGATTATGATATATGCAAATGCCTATCTCTGAATCCTGAAACTCTTAGTGAAACAATGCAAAATTTACCAGCAACCGGAATAACCCAGAAGTCAGGTAAGTGCTGCAAAATGTGTGCTGCAAGGCAATGTAGTGATCAAAACAAACAGATGGGAACTACTACTTCAGGTAGATCACACTTCTTCCAATGGAAGAAGATTTCTACGATATAATATTACGCTGGAGTATTACCTGCGATGTGTTTGAGATGCCAATTTAGAAGTTAAAAAGAAAACCATTACAATTAACAGAAAAGGAAAACCTTTCATTTCCCTTTAAACACATGAAGGAAAGTTCTTACTTAGATTATCTATATAAATAAAACCTGTTAATTTTCAGGATAAATGTATGAATGAGTCCAATATATGGAAATTTACCATAAATTACAAATTTAGTTAAAATATAAATTTATTTGTCTCAAACTAACATTTTAAAATAAATTCACAATAATCACACTTTGAGGGTTTTTTTATAATTGTGCATTTAGGATTGGTATAATAAGTAAATTTATAATCTACTTCTAAAGTTATAAATCGCATGATAAATTGAGCACCAAATAAATACTTACACCATAAGATTAACAAGCAATAATCTTGTACCTAGAACACTGCTAATGTGACTATGGCCAGGCTACTTCTGCTATCACTGTGAAATATCACCATATAGGCCCTGACCCAAAATTTAATTTACTATGAAGAGTAAACAAAGATAATTAATCTTATGTAAGATATATAAGAAGCTTATATATCTGATATTATATAAAACATTATTTTATTAACAAAAGATAATAAATATTAGATATATTTCTATTTTATTCCAATGAAAAGGATATCGTTTAAACCTGTGGATCTTTCCCCTCCAAACCGCCATACTTTACCTGTGAAGTTTCCATTATATTGTTCCTTGTTCATTGCTACACGTCTGTGGTCACAATTTTTTCCATTCTCTGCCATTTCATAGATCAATAACTCTTGAGGAGCTAATAAAACAAAATAAAATCCAGTGACACATTATATACTTCTGCTTTGTTTCTATGACTAAATAAAACTGAAATCAGAAACAACATGGTATAATACCCCACATGCTATTTCAATAATGTTTACTGTATTTGTAGTTGGGGCCCTTAAGCAGGTAATTAAGGTTAAATGAGGTCATAAGGTGGGGCTCTAATCTGATAGATGTGGTTTCCTCGGAAGAGGTGAAGAGAGACACCAGAGACAGCTCCCTCAGCATGCACACAGAGGAAAGGCCATGTGAGGACACAAGAAGGCAGCCTTCTACAAAGCAGGAAGAGAGGGCTCATCAGAAACCAACCCTGCCAGCACCTCAATTTTGGACTCCAGGCTCCAGAGCTGTGAAAAATAAATTTCTGTTGTTCAAGTCAACCAGTCTGTGGTATTGTATTGGCAGCCCTAGCAGACTAATGCAATGCTGACTAGTATAAACAAGGGGAACCAGATCACTGGATAATAATATTTCTCTTGGTATTTTAATAAATTGGTATTCTGGTTCATGAATTTGGTTAGAATAACTCCATCTTCTGGAGTCCATTCAGATGTTTACTACTTCAAATTTATACACTACAAAGCTGAGGATCAGACACTGAAATGAGGCATCTATACCAAGACCCAGATGCCCTGAGGGGACGTAAATGTGTAGACAGCCTATCTTTTATCCAGGAAATAACCCATGTACTTTACTGGATATGTCTTCAAATTGCCACAGGGACTATTCAATCTAGCATCAACATACCCTGTTAATCTTACTCATTACCATTTTCATCATCTTAAAATGACCAATTTAATAGGGCAACAGGAAAACTTGGTGCCTCAAAGCCGCCAATGTCTTGACTGATTTGAGGCTATACCCGGACAAGCACTATTTGTCTAGGTATTTCATCTGTATTCCATACCCCAGGACTGAATGCATCCAGCAACTGAAAGTAGTTTTATTTCTTTGGAGCTAAAAGAATCCTATCAATATCACTTACTAATTGCATGAAGTTGGGTAAGTAACTTAAGACTTTGTGCTTGAGTTTATTTGTAAAATATCCCCATTTTTATTTTCATGTCATCCTTAAATGTTTTTGTGTTGCTTTGGGGAACTCTCAGTAATGTAGTTTCTCTACTTCAAATTATATATAATTGTCCTGCACAGTGACTGGCACACAGCAGGAGTTTCTCCATGCTCTTTTCATGAATGTCACAATTTTCCAAAATAACCATGGTAAACTTTACCCTGAGTATTCAATTACAGGTATTTGTTTTCCATAATCTTTTTTAAGATTTTTTTTTTTAATTGGGGAATTGGGGGGAGGGAACAGCGTTGGGGAATCAGGGAAGCGAAACAGACAAGTTGCTGTCCTTGGTTCTTCAGTCTAGTTGTGGAGGGTGTTGCTTCACTGGCCCATGTTGGTATTGTGATCATTGCACTCTTCCCAGCTGAGGCAGACCGGTCACCAGCCATTGGACGGCCGCTCATGGCAGCTCACGCCGGCTGCCGGCCACTCACAGTAGCTTACAGCAGCCCACTGCAGCCTATGCCGTTGCCGGCGACTCACGGCAGCCCAGCTCCAGGTCGAGCTGTTGTTCACCATCTTAGCTGTAGAGGGCGCAGCGTCACTGGCCCTAATGTGGGATCCAAATCGGGGCCCTGCTGCTCAGAGCTGGCGTTCCCAAGCCAACTCTTAACCAACGAGCCATTCAGCCGGCCCGGCCCCTTGTTTTCCATATTTCTATAGTATACATGAGCCTGCATAACTGGTTTCCACAGAATCAGAAAAATCATGGTTTGTTATATTGGGTAAGATCAATGAATTATTTTTCATCAATCAAAACATTCTGAAAAGTACTAAAGGACAATCTGTTAAGAATTATTACAGGGTAAATGGGCTCTAGCCTATGTAGCTAGGGATAAGATAAAGTAATAATTTTTAAGGAGAGCCACTTTTCACAGTTCAATGTAGTAGCATTAATTTTGGAAATCTGTGGTGAAACAATGTCAGTAAGATTCCTGGATGTGGGAATAAATCCAAAGTATTCCTAGCCTGTTTAAAGGCTTGACATCTCCTCAAACAGAAATTTAGCATATATTCCTGACATTCAAGGGTGTTTCGTTTGCAGTGAGAGTGTCGTAATATCAATTTTAACAGCATGTATCTAAATTTTGTTTGTAAGAATTTAGTTGTTGAAATCAACTCTATAGGTTGGTGGATGGGATAAGACAACAGAAATAGGAAAGAAGCATAACTCAAACATCAAATAATAATCTTCATGTGAAGCTATATCTAGATATAAGCAATGCTTTAAAAGGCTGTAACTTACAGATTTTAAACACAGCTGAAGCATTTAAAAATAAAAGGTTAATATGAAAATATGTGGGTTTTTTGTGTTTCTGGCAGAAATGCTTATAAAAAATACTGCTAAAATCAGCTCACAAAGGTTCTTTGTAGACTGTACATCCAGTGCTAAGACTATAATACTCCATTCATTTTAAACTTTAGCTACATTTGTAATGCAAAAACAATGTGAAACTAAATTACTGTGAGTTTCTCAAAGCAACACACACACACACAAAAACCATTTAAGGATAAAATGAAAATGGCAACTTTCTGAGTAACGTAAGAGTTAGAGATTTTAACAAGATGAGAAGACAAAGCCAATAAGATCACTGAAGCCACTGATTCTAATTTTTATGGCCACTGTTTTCCAAAATAAAATGAACACACTCCCTCTTAAGAAAATAATCTATCCAAATGATTCTTTCTCACAAAAATATTAAGCTGGCTTTCTCAATAAAACACACTGCTTTTCATATAAGGCATACAAAGACAGCTGATTTGAATATTAAATCTTTCAGTCACCTTTCTTCCTTTCAGAAGTGTGTATCTTTAACTGGATTATTTAGTACATTCAATCACAGACTACTCTAAAATAGCTGTAGATTTCCCTAAAACTATAAAGATTAAGAAAGTGCAACTTATTCTTGGAAACTTAAATAATCCAAGTGAAGAGTAATATATCTTGACAAGCAAGGCTTTGATACAGCTTTCCACTTGGGAAGGGGAATAAAGCCAAAGATAATTCAAACACCATGCACAATATCAGAGTCACTATCATCAGATCATCTAACTCTGAGAGCCAGCGAGTTATCTATGTTCTAACAGCTTAAGAATGTGTTCTCTGAAAATTCATTATTAAATGAGAATATATGAAAAACATTCTCTGAATCTTTTTGAACTTTATGGGGAATTAGCCAAATTAAAACTCCAAGTTAGGATACAATTTAAAAACATTCAAAATCTCAATAAATCTCCTGGTTAGCAGGGTATGAGGGTGTATACAGAGGATGCCAAAAAAGCGCATACACGTTTTAAGAAAGGAAAATCCGTATTAAAATTCTAATACTCAATATATACCGAGAACAAAAGAGGAATACAAGTCACGTATACATTTTTTTGGCACCCCCAGTATTTCTGGCCTAAATTGTCCCTCACCTTAATTTAGCGAAGTGTAAAATAACATTCAATTCATCAGTCTTCTAATTGTTGAAAAAGGCCACTGCTCCATATCTAACTTTTAATTAGATAAAATTTTATGTAAAAATCTAATTTTAAAAAGATACAACCCGGAAGACATTTAGGGACTCCCCTTTTGTGAGTCTGATAAGTTTTGCGAGTCTGTTAGGTTCGTTTCTTCATCTCGCACTTCCAACATGTAAAATATTTTATGTTCCTTTGATTTTATTTTCATGGGGAAAATGAGTAACTTGTAAAATTGCAACGTGAAAAACCCCCCTTTTCATTCTAAATCTTCACTAAGTTATTCATAAATGCAATCTTAGTAAAACATTTTCACCAAAAATATGGGGGAGTAAGAGTAAGGTTAAGAATTAAAACAGCAGAGCCAGCCGAGTGGCTCAGATGGTGAGAGCACGTGCTCTTAGCAGCAAGGTTGCCGGTTCAATACCCATATGGGATGATGGGCTGTGCCCACTTGCAACTAAGATTGAACACAGCACCTTGAGCTGAGCAGCAGCAAGCTGCAGACGGCTCAATGTGCAATCAGGTTGCCTGTTAGACTTTCGCATGGATGGTGGTGGGCTGCGCCTCCCAACTAAATTGAAAGCAGCGACTTGGACTTGGAGCTGAGCTTGCGCCCTCCACAACTAAGATTGAAGGAGAACAACTTGACTTGTAGGTGATGGGGAACACAATGTTCCCCTTCCCCAATTCCCCAACACTGTTCTCCTCCCCAATTCCCCAATAAAAACCTTAAAAAAAAAAGAATTAAGACAGTAAAAAGGTAACAGTCGAGTTGGGAGATTTAACTGTGAGATCTTGGGAATGTCACTTCACATCCCCAATTCTCTTTGCTCATCCAATTATTAGGCATATAGAGTAAATGACTGCCATCATTTTCTTTCTATTCTAATAGATTAAGAATTCTACCCAGCCCAAGGCTAGGGGTTTGGATTTACGTAATAACAACTACTTCTGTGTAGTGACTTACAGTTTACATATAGACTAGCTAACATGATGCTAACAACCCTTTGTAGGGATACTTGTTTTCAGGCTTGCCCTTTACAAATGAGAAATTGAGGGCTCAAACAGCCTCAAATAGAATTCAGCAGCATACAAATGGCAAAGTGAGAGTTCAACCTCATTTTTCCAAGTTCAAATTCAGTGTTTCTTGTATCACACAGAACAGTCTGGTGAGAGTATTTTCAATTCTTGCGGAGGAATTCTGGGGTCACAGAAAAAAAAATTACTAAAAAAGTAGTCCCAATAATTTAGCTTGTCCTCATTTACAAATATCCCCCATTACTAGAATTAAGAGAACACTCATTTCTATTGATTCTCACCATTTAAACTAGCTGTCATAAAAATCAGATGACTTCACTTTTGCCTCTTTTTGTCATTTCTTTGTGGATTATTACTGTCTGTGTATGTTTCTGACAAAATTTAAAATTCAGACTGCT